CTGGCCTAAATTGCATTTGATGAGCAACTTTGATTTTCTCTATGGCACGAGGCCTCAAGGGTTGTCATATTAGTTGGAGGTTATCATAGTGTCGTACGGATTTCACTTTCAATAGTAAACATGTCTCTGTTTTGTTGTCAACATTCAGTAAATGGAATCTCGGTGGACAAATTGGATTTTCTTCTTCAAATGACAGCATAGGAGGAGACACTGTAATAAATATTTGCTGCAAGCTTTGGGTTCTAACAAGCTCTCACAAAACCTATTTTACGGGCGCTTATGAGCGTCAGTGCGATAGCGCCCGTCAAATGTGCCTAGATTAGCATGTCAGATTATGGATCTGACAGTCCTAGGTTCATGTCTCACCAAAGAAATTATATACTGCATACTCTGCACTTTTGGTCTGTGGGTGCATTAAAAGGGTGATAACAAATCCCTCTGTTCAGTTAGTGTAGCACAAGAGTTGGAAGTAGTTTGTGTTAACTAACTCCCTTCCATCTAGTCTATCACTTCAAAATATAAACAATTACTTATCTTTCTTTTTTATTTTATTTAAGCTTTATTTTAGAAAATTCCTTCTGGTTTGAAAATCCAAGTTTATTTGAAAAAATGGCCACCATTGCTTGATAATTGTTACAGCTCTCTTTACAAATAATATACTTAATGTTATTAAAGTTGGCCCTTTTACATGTGCGGAAAAGTGAATAGCATGTTCATCACTATGCCATCCACTCACTTTATAAAGTATTTCAAACTTTGCTTTATATGTCTCCCATGATAACATCCAATCATAGCCTGTTGATGTTTCGATTTGGGAATTTTCTTGAGTTTGCATGCCACATATTTACTCCTCTGTTACTTTATGAGGTAGTGGTGTAGATGAAAGAACCTGCAGTTATAAGTAACAGAGTAGTAGTTGTACCAGATTTAGACCACATGGGGTCTCCTATTTCATTTTGCATAGATAATTGAGTTGGGGTAAAAATTCTTGAGCAAATGCAGAGATAGGGTAGCTCATTTGAGCTTTATACTTTTTATTTTAATTTATAGATTTTTTTAATCAGAGCTTATGTTCTTTCATACCTTTTTATGGTTTTCTCGATCTCGATGTCATACTCCTTCTGTTCTTCATTCATACCCTTTTGTACTTTCTTGATGCCCTTTTGTAGTTTCTGAATGTCCTTTTGTATTTCACTGATAACCTTTTGCATTTCAGTGATTTCCTTCCTATTATTTTTTAATTTTGTTGATATAATCCTTCTGTATATTTCGTGTGGTTTACTCGATCTATTTATTCAATGAAATTCGTTGTTATATGCTTCTATAAATCATTTGTCTCGTTCTTGTAACTTTTTCATAAATTTCTGTCTCTTTCTTGAATTTATCATCTTTTCACTATGTAATTACGATCTTTTCATTGTCTTGAAATTGGCCTGGCATGGCCTGGTGGTTAAGGCGTTCAACTCGCAATCTGAGTTTCGCGGGTTCGAATTCCTGTCACTGAACATGCTCGTATTTTCAGCCGTGTGGCGTTATAATGTCGCAGTCAATCCCACTATTCGTTGGTAAAAGAGTAGCCAAAGAGTTGGCGAGGGGTGGTGTTGACTAGCTGCTTTTCTTCTAGTCTATCACTGTTAAATTAGGGACTGCTAATGCAGATAGCCCTCAAATAGCTGTGTAACTGAGAACACCTGTTTTATATATATAAACAATAAACCACTTTTGTTTCGGTGTAAGAGGAGATAATACTCTTAGTAATCACGTGACTTGTCAGCAAAAAAAGACCTGTTATGTCTCTGTTCGTTTGTTAATTTGCCGTAGAAATTCTTTCCGAGAAACTTCAGCGATAGAAGTCCTTTCTTAAATAAAACTAGTTTCTTATTTCTCGTTACAAACTTTGTAATACGCTTAATTTCCACAGTCACTTTAACTTAAACACACGCTATAATTCATAACGATTCACGCGCTTTACCGCCCGCTTGACTCAACTATCCTTGTCTATATCTTCAATCTCTCTATCTGCGATTCCAATTCAGATTAATTGTCTAGCTTTATCTGGCGTACTTATATACAGGAATAGAGGGCGTCTAGCAAATACTGGATTATTCGTGATGTTCCCCAATCCTTCTAGAAACTCATCACGTGTTACCAGGGTCACGTGACTTCCGCTGTCGTAACACTACCTCTTCCTTAGTATTGTTCGCCCCGAACAATAGTCACTTACATTAAACCAATACATAATTAAGAATAACTTAATTAAATGTACAGAATTTACAAACACCAAATTAGAATACAACAAAGTCTCTTAACTTTACAGGACATATCTTCTTCCGTACTGGTCTCTGTCTCGTTGGCTTCTGCTTCACGTAAAGTTCATCTGCTCCATCAGGAAATGTCCTATGATTGGTAATAGTCACATCAGTGGCAGTAACTTCATCAAGGGCTTCACTGTTTCCCTTCTCAAAACCGAGTAGAATTTCTTCTTCGACAGTGGCTTTTCCAGGTGACACGTCTTCAGTGGCGTCTTTTTGTTCCATTGTTCACTTCGTCCCAAATGAAATGTCCTGGACCATGATAATGCCAAATCCTGTTGACATGCACCACCTTTGGTTTACCTCGCTGACCAAATTTTATTCAGAAAGTCACGTCTGAGAGACGATCCATTATGTCATATGGGCCTTCCCATGGAGAAGACAACTTAGGAGACTTCCCTTTGGTCTTCCTGGGATTATACAACCACACCTTTCTCCTAGTACAAAGCTGACTTCAGCATAGCTTCATCGAATCAACTGACGTTTTCAAGTTTGAACGCACTTGATGGTGAATATTATACATCCTTTCCGATAACACTTTCACGAACTCGGACACATTTTCAGGCAACTCTTCATAAGGTGGGCGTCCTGTTAACAGATCCACTGGCAACAAAAGCTCCCGACCAAACATCAGCTTTGATGGAGTGTATCCAGTGGCTTCATGCTCTGCTGTTCTATAGGCTGTCAACAGTGGAGGGAGTAAGACATCCCAGTCATCTTGGCGGCTATTACAAAACTTTGTCAATTCCTGTCCCAGTGTCCAGTTGTACATTTATACCATCCCATCAGACTGTGGGTGATATGGCGTTGCTCTGGTCTTTCGTATGCCAAACAACTTGCAGCATTCGTGGAACACAGCTGATTCGAAGTTACGACCTTGATC